CAAACAAAGCTGTTGGACCGGATAACATCCCGATAGAAGCATGGAAAAGCCTTGGGAGGCTGGTGTAGATGTTTTGTGGGATCTTTTAAATGAAATATATGAGCAAGAGAGAATTCCATCGGAGTGGAGGAAGAGCACAATTGCGCCCATATATAAGCAGAAGGGTAACATCCAGGACTGCACTAACTACAGGGAAATTAAATTAATCTCACATACAATGAAGCTTTGGGAGAGGACTATTGGAATGAGGATCGAGACTGAAATGGTCATCAGTGAGAACCAGTTTGAATTTGTTAAGGGAAGACAGACATCAGATGCTATTTTTGCCTTAAGACAGACAATGGAAAAATACAGGAAGAAACAGAAGGGACTGCACATGGAGGTGCATGAGAGAAAAGGGAGTGAGCGAGAAGTATGTAAGATTGGTTCAAGATATGTATAGAGATGTAACATCACAAGTTAGTAGTTGCGTCGGAATAACGGATGAATTTAACATCAAAGTAGGACTCCACCAGGGCTCTACTCTCAGTCCGTATATATTCGACCTTATAATGGACGTTCTAAGCGAAGGGATTCGAGAGGAGGCACCCTGGACAATGTTATTTGCAGATGACATTGTCTTGGTGTGTAAACAAAAGAATCATTGAGAGACAAACTTTCGCAATGGAAGAGGGCTTTGGAGGACCGAGGCTTGAAGATAAGCAGAACAAAGTCTGAGTACCTCTCATTTAATGATTTTGAGGAGGAAAATGGGGTGGAAATGGATGACGAGATCATTAAGAGGGTACCAGCTTTTAAATATCTAGGCTCACATGTGACAGAGGACGGTGAACTGGATGTAGAAGTAAATCAACGCATTCAGTCAGGGTGGCAGGCATGGAGAAGGTTTTCAGGAGTACTCTGCGACAAGAAGATCAGCGCAAGACTCAAAGGGAAGGTTTACAAAACAGCTGTGAGACCTGCTATCCTTTATGGGAGCGAGACATGGCCAATTAAGAGGGTGCATGAAAAGAAGGTGAATGTAGCAGAGATGAGGATGTTAAGGTGGATGTGTGGTGTCACGAGGAAGGATAAGATCAGGAATGACTACATCAAAGGTACAGTCAAGGTCACAGAAGTGAGTGCAAAGATGCAAGAAAGAAGGATTAACTGGTATGGGCATGTCATCAGAAGTGAAGAAGGCTATATTGGAAACCAAGTTATGGAAATGCACGTGGATGGACGTAGAAGGAGAGGTAGACCCAAATTAAGTTGGAGGGAAAGGCTAAAAGAAGATCTGGAAGACAAGGGACTCAGAAGGGAAGATGCAATGGACAGAGCAAGATGGAAGAGGCTAGCGAGGAACAGTGACCCCATATAGAAATGGGAATAAGCTAAAGAAAAAGAAGAAGAAAATTCCTTAGTAGAGGATTTTGTGCTTCAAAGAGTGTATTCCACAATTTCTTTTAGCACAGGACCGTAAGAACTACTACTTCAGACTCTTAACTTGTAGGCAGGACAGCTCCTATAAAATACATTATGGGAACCACCAGAAGTTGCACGTGTGCAGAACAATTTGAATGGTCATGGCCAGCTAGGTTGGGGACATAGTGGGTTAACACATCAGTGCTTGGCAGGGTGGCCAAACCACATTTCTAACCTTGACAGGGAAGGGGCTGATATGGTCAAACAGGACAGCACACTCCGCCAATATTAACTTCATGTTAATGGATGCTAATTTTGACAATACTGGTGTAGGACTTACGCTGGCCAATGGCCACTGGGATGAGTCGTCTAGAACTGCAGTGATACTGCATCATAGTTAATGAGACAAGCAAGCAGGGCGTTTTCATAGTCTGACCAGTCCTTGTTGTAGACAGGCAATTAGCCAGGGAAATGGAAATAGCTTTGATGTCAAGTGGTCAGTAGGACTAACCACTTTGATGTCGTTTTGATATTTTGACCATTTACAGTTTTCTTTCAAACTTCCCATATATTAAAGACAGGTAAAATTTGGTCTTATTTTGAAAGGGAAGGTGTTTTCCAAGAATATCAATATAAAATAATAAAAAAATAAAGAAGTGATCTGAGAACTAAAAGAATATCTGGTCTAATTCAATATCTACTTCACTTGAACAGCTTCATAAAAATATCTAGAATGAGACTGTGTGAAATATTAAATAGCTTACATATATTTGTTTTTACTGTCTTAATTTTAAAGATTGAATAAAAAATGTAACTGTAGCACTTTAGGGAACTATAAGGTACCCACCAAATTAATAATTTATAAATGAAGCTCGTTTTTGGGGAAAAAAATAAGAACAAACCTTTATCTTGAATGTTACCTTTTTCTCAAGTAAGGAATAGATGGAAAAAAAATAAAGTGAAAATTCATATTTTTCTGGTTCCAATCTTTTTAATAGAGATAAGAATGCCTTTGGCATGGCACAAAACACATCAGCCTTGTCAATATTACACACATACAAAATTACACTAAAAAAATATGTCTAAGTCAGCCCTGAGTAACACTTAAATTATAACATCAATCCTTTCTATATGGTACATAGTGAATAGACACATACTGTAAAAAGATAAATGTAACAGAACACAAAATTCTATAAGTAACAAGTTTAAGAAGCATTTACCTGTGATCATAAATATCTCTTTTATTGCCCATCCTAAACTACTGAAGATCTATTCCTTGTAATATAATCTAGCCTTTTCTTTCCCGTCTTACTCATACTGCTTCCACCTTTTCTTTTTAACTCTTTCTTAAATAAAAACATGAAACTCAGTTAATTGCAATATTTATATTATGCAACCTGTAAATCCTATGCATACTGCAATGTTCTTTAAGTACAAAATGAACCCTTATCATTAGGAAATTTAAGTTATATTGTTATTGTTGCTGTTGTTGTAATGATGATGATGATGTGTCCATGATGATGTACATATGCATTCCTTTGAGTGTGTACATTTTTGTTCATGTGCATGTCTATGTGTGTGCATGTGTACATTTTTGTGTGGCTATGGCTGTGGCTGTGGCTGTGGCTGTGGCTATGGCTGTGGCTGTGGCTGTGGCTGTGGCTGTGGCTGTGGCTGTGGGTGGGGTGTGCATGTGTGAGTATCTGCATGTCTCTGTATCTGCATACCAGCATCTGCACCTGTCATGTATATGCGTGTGTGCCTGTGTGCCTTTATATGCCTGTAAAAACACATCACTTAATAAATTACATGAAATTGAAATTATATAGACACATAACGACTACAGCCAAGCTAGCTTTAATTCCAAAGGAGGTCACTATGGATCCTTTTTGTATGGTTTAAGGTCTGAAATTAACCCTTACATCACAAACATCTTCAGTTATGATTGTGCCAAATTTGAAAATAAAAATTAACATCCAATCTTTGGTACATTTGAAGAGATAATTACAAATAAATAAGAGTAATAAGCTGTTACACATTCCTGGAACACAAAGGATATTTCGCAGACTGTTCATGTTGTACCTGAACAAGAGAATAATAATCCTTATCTGTTATAAGGCAGTTTCTTTAATCCTAATGTAAAACTAAACCATCTAACATAAATATATACACAATTTGCCAATACCCCTAATTTCACTTATCTGATGCAAATTTGTGACTGTATCTTGTAGGTCTATACTAACTCTCCTATCCTGCTCTCTAAATTCCTAATCAGGAAATTATAACAATCATACCATTAATATAAGCAAAATGATTGTCTATTTTTCATTTCATTTGACCTTTCTTTTCCTTTTAAACAGAACTGCTCCTAAAACAATGCAATCATTATTCATTTGCAGAGATATGTGTATGTATACATGTGAGGGTGTGGGTGTGCATATATATGTGCGGGTGCGTGTGCATGTGCGTGTGTGTCATGTGTGTGTCCGTCCATATATATTTATATGCAGAGATGGGCAGTACTGAAATACATGTATAAGCAATACATATTAATCAATACTTTTGTATTGTTATTGGTATTGCCTTAACTAATCAACATCAGTATTAATTTATCAGTATCATTAAGATGTTTTTTTCAAAATGTATAAAAAAAATAAATAAATAAATAAAATTGGTACACTTAGATGCCTTCCTAGGCCTCTCTCGCTCACTCTCTCTCTCTCTCTCTCTCT